CACGGGACCATTCGCCAGCTGGGCAAGGGCCTGGAGATTGAAACACACAAAGACACACAGACAGAGCCACGGGTCATCCTTGAAACAGGAATGCCCCCCTTTATTGTGTTCAGGGACAACTTATATAGGGATCCTTAACTGATAGCCACGCCCCAGCCAAACACACCAGAAACCACTCTCCTGCCATCAGGAACTCCTGAGGGTCTTGTGCTCAGAGCAGCTGCAAGCATAACACGCTGTTTACAAGAAATTCAGGATCTGGGGGGTCACAGCTCCCAACACAAATGGATCATCCTGGGAAGGGGAAATAGATGAGATCTCCTGGGTAAACTGGAGATGGGGGGGGGGGTGTTAGAGGGGAGGAGTTGGGGGCAGGAGTGGGGAGAACATGAGGGAACAGGATGGTGGAGCTGGGGGAGGGATGAAGGGAGAAGGCAATGAAAGATATCTTGGTAGAACCATTATGGAGTTAGGGAGAAAGCTGGTGCTAGGGAAATTCCTAGGAACCAACAAGGATAACCCCAGGTAAGATTCCTACCAATAGTGGAGAGGGTGCCTGAGCTGGTCTTCCTTGTAATCAGATTGGTGACTACCCTGTCATCATAGAGCCAAAGGAAGTAGATGCAATGATCCATAGCCGAGCAGCAGGTTGAGCATGGGTGCTCACTTTCAATTCTAGCAATAGCCACAGTTAACTTTCAAAAACAGAACAAAGTGAACGTTTGTGATTTTTTTTGCTGGCTCCTCTCTCGGAGGCTGTTGTGCTTATGTGCTCCCTCTCCATGTTATGTGCTGGTGTAGGGGGTTGGTTAACAGTGTGTCTTCCTCTCACTCCATCTTATTTTTTTGTGCAGTTTCTCTTTAAACCTGGAGAGCTTTCCATTTTGGCTAGACTGGTTGGCCAGGAAGCCAACCAATCCTAGGGATCTTGTTTCATCATCCAACTACTGGTGTTACAGATGAGTACCACCATGCCCAACTACTGGTGTTACAGATGAGTGCCATCATGCCCAACTTTTACACAGTTAATGGGTAGCCAAACGCAAGCCCTCATGCTTGCACAACAAACACATTACCTATTGAGCCTTCTCCACATCCAGGAATTTTTAAAGAGCCGTTCTTTTAATGTGTCATAGTTTTCAGTTTAGAACTCAAAGGGTCCAACATCTGGGAACATTCTTCCAGTTTTACTACTTCAGACAAGTCTAGCCTATAATTTTTAGTGATGTGAACAAGAGTCTAACAAGGACTTGTCTGGAGCTTTGGGGTTTTTTTTTTTTTGGCAACTAGTAATGGAACATACAATAGTTTAGCCACCTATGGACTGCATACAAGGCAGGGAGGGGTCCTTGAAAACCCTAGCAGCTGAAAATCCTATAGACTAGTATTTTTTTAAACTGTATGTTTTCTGTTTTGATAAACAAAGGTTTAATTACATGCTATATGAATTTGAAACCTAAGGACAGGCTCAACCTTCTAGGTTTGCCTAAGTACAGTTACAAGATTGACAGTACTTTGACTGTATCACTATTAAGTAATCCATTACTATAAAACTTTATTAGAATATAGCCATACTTCTTGATACTCATGGTTGCTTTTACATATAAAAAAATAAAATAAAAACTGTAAGCCTAAAACATTTTAAAAGTGTGTGTGTTGGGGGAGGGGGACACATGCATCTTGGTGCTGAAGTGTTGGTCGGGGACAACTTGAGGGCACCAGGTTCATGTGGGTTCCAGGAATCACTCAGGTCCTCAGGCTTCACAGGAGGTGCCTCACTTGCTAAGTCATCTCCCTCCAGCCCTTGTTACAAGGAGAGTGAGCCCTTTGTTCTGGCTGCCTGGCTAGCTTACACTCAAAATAATCACACAGAAACTGTATTAATTAAAACACTCCTTGGCCCATTAGCTCTAGTTTCTTATTGGCTAATTCTTACATCTTAATTTAACCCATTTCTATTAATCTGTGTATCACTACATGACTGTGGCTTACCGGCAAGATTCTAACCAGTGTCCACCTCAGGCAGGAAATCCATGGCGTCTCTCACCCTGCCCTTCTTCCCAACATTCAGTTCTGTCTTCTCCGCCTACCTAAGTTCTGCCCCATCAAGCCCAAAGCAGTTTCTTTATTCATTTAACCAATGAAAGAAACACATGAACAGAATAATCTCCTATACCAAGCCCTAGTCGTTTACTAGGTGACTTTTTGAGGGAAAGTTTGCTGACTTGTGATCTCAAGTTTACAGGCTGATTCTGGACTTCACTGACTTGTTTCAACTATGAAGAAACTGACAAAAGGACAGACATCTACTCTAAGAAAGATTTCTGCAGCAATCAATGCCGCCTTTGTGGAGTTCAGTACCCAAACCAAGATGACCCCTGGGGACCTGGTACCTGGAAGTCTTCCCCTAGGCCAACCAAGGAAGCTGTGAAGGTGGCCCCTGTTGCTGGGTATTGTCACATTGACCACAAATATACAATGAGAGTGAAATGGGAGAAACAACCCAAGAGAAGATGGAAGAGAAAATTGTGTAACTGAGGGGTAGGCTCTTTATTGTCGGCAATTTGTGGACCACCTGCTTTGAGAGAAAACTGATAGTCTTTCATAAGACTTTCATAGATCTGAAACTGGATTGTCTTATTCACCAGTCACAAGTACTTCAGCCTGAAAAGGAGTTACTCCCCAAAGATGATAAAGGCAGTGTTCTGACCAGTAAAATAACATTCTTGGATGCCTGGGATGTCAGGGAAGAACTGGTAGACAACTGGTGGCTAATGGAAGCCCTGGGCATCTCCAACTTCAAGCACTTCTAGACTGAAAGGCTATAGAACATGCCTGAACTAAAAAATAAACCGGTTATTAGCCAGGTTGAGTGCTGTCTATACCTCACCCAGGACAAACTGATCCAGTACTGTCTCACTCCAAGGACATCATCATCATGGCCCACAGCCCCCTGGGCTCTCCTGATTGACAGACCTTGGATCAAGCCAGAGGAGCCTTCACTACTGGAGAATTCCAAGATTAAAGAAATCAATTATTGCAAATGACAAGAAAACAGCCCAGATTCTGCTTTGGCTCCATATCCAGAAGAATGTGGTGATGATCTTCAAGTATGTGAAACTAGTATCTATATGCGAGAACTTTCAGGTCTTGATCTTTCAGTTGAGTGATGATTAGCTTCAATAGAAACTTGGGACTTGCCTGCTGCCCGGACAGTGGGTATGAAAGAATATCCCCCACGATTCAGAATACTGAAGCTAAATCATCTATGACGGTGCCAAATGGATTCTCTCCTTGTTGACATGCACCTCACTCCTCTTGACAGCCATTTAAGCCAAGTCCGTCTGACACACTGTGAAGGCCTTGTTGTAGGACAAAATCTAGGTGGTGCTATATTTAAATTCCCATGTACCAGCAGCAGACTGTAGCAGGGAAATATGATTCAGAGAAGCAAATGAACATTTCTTTCAGTAATTTGATGTGACCAAATGTTTGTCAAATGCCAGGAAATCAGGTAACATGAGGATATAAAGATAAATAATAAAAATAATAGTAGTAGCAAACATTTTTTAGAAGATGCTAACAAGTACAACAAAAGGTTTGATAAGTATTTTTCCACTGGGATTTGCCCTTCTTGAAATGCTTTCCAGAAGACCCCCCACCCCAATGCTGTGCAAACGTCTTATTTATCTTCTGGAAGAGATGAGAGGTCACGTGGAGAAAAAACCCAAGGCACTCCAGTCAACAGTCGGCACTGCTAGGCACAATGAGAAACAATCTTGGACTACCCCTCTATGTGCAGCATCACCTATGTACAGTCATTCAGCCAGTGGGCTGCACCTGATGCTACTAGAAGAAATAATCACTAGACAGAATTTTCACTTTTCAAAGAATTACGGATACACTGTTGCAGTAAGTGACTTATTTTTTTGCAATGGTTCAGTATGTAGCTGATAACTGACATACCTTGTCTACCACAATAGTCATCCTATAAACACTACAAACTACTTACCAAATAATTCATTATGAACTATGTTTAAACCCTATAACATCAATGATCAACAATATAAACTGCCTTTTTAAAAAATAACAAACTCAGTTCTATACAAACTCATGGGATAAAGCTTAATTTTCATGTCTAATAAGTCTTTATTAAACTATGACAAAAACCCATTTCTGCTTCCCATCTTAGGTTCGGGCAATAAAAAAGGGTGAGTAAATATTTGCGATTGCTCCCAAACACTTAATATAAAGACAGAATGGTGCTATTCCTTTGCCTATAGAGCATTTACCTTAGTACACTCAAGTTCATATTATGGTCCATAATGGAAAAATGTAACAGCATGATTGGATCAAATTAATTATATATAAGCTTTCATTTTCTAAAGTACTTCAAGATTACAGGAGTCCTTACTGGTTTGAAATAAACTACCAGATCTGGTAACCAAACAGCTATACATCTGGGGCAAGTTATTTTCTTTAAACATCAAGCTATTTTATCTATACAGATGAGACTATTTGTGTACTGCCTCAGAATTTTGAAAATCTGATATGAAGAAATGGCAGCAAAATACAGCATCTAGCACCTGGAAAGTAGAGCCATAGTGTTCTGAAAGTCAGACTGCCTGGCTTTAAATCCTAGCGGACACTTAGTTTCTGTGTAACCTGGGTAAGTTTCTTGCCCTCTTTATGCCTAGTTCATCTCATCATAAAAAGAACATAACAACAGCTACTCTTTTTTTAAGCTTTAGGGAAATATTAAGGGCTTCAGATAATACCTGCAACACTGGTGAGCACGCAGTAACTGTTAAGCACCTCTATTCGCAGTGCTGAGTCCTAGTGTTTAACCCATTCTGTCAAAAGTAAGCCTCAAATTTAGGTATCTTTCCTCTTCCCATTACCCCATCAGAGTTGTTGGTTTAAAGTGACAGAAAAATAAGGACATAGTCATTTAATAGTCTCCAAAAGAAAAAGAAAATCAAAGACCATAGATACTCGAGCAAGTTCAACAGGTCTTTATTGAATGTCATAGTTCAATAGGCAAATCTGGATGCACTGGTATTGAACAGTGAGGCCGAAACCAGCATAACATCACATCTGTGGTGAATCTTCCTAGTTAATGTAATTTTATGCCTACTTGTTTTCCAAGTAGCTCTCAGGCATCTAACCTGTGAAACAACTGCTGTTTACATTTGGAGACGCAAGGGGGACATAAGAACCAGAGCAGAAAGGAAACAACGTAAGGCATTTCAGGAAAATAATTTTTCAAGAACTGAATAGCCTGTAAGGTATACAAGTATCCAGTAATAATAATTCAAGTTTGCATTGGAGACATAGAAGTAAAACAAAAACAGGATTTAATCTGTCTTCATTTGCAAATCTATGAACTATGAAAAGGATCATTCCATTTTCCTGTGACTAGTCAATATATTTATATAGTTCTTTTGTATATCAATCCGCTGATTAATAACAAAATTGCATTTGAAAACCTACATTGGTCTTCTTCTCTTCCTTTCTCCTCTGTTAAAATGGAACATAACAATGAGGGAATATACAGTCACAGGTATTAGTGTTTATTGAAGCTAGATTCCTTATACCAATAGTGTTTTCTGCTACCAATTTTTATAGTATCAAGTGCATCAGGTAAACAGTCACGTGCTTTGTATTCCATATATAGATATCAATGCAAGAGTCAATGGCAGTTTACAATCTGGTTCCCAGTGGGCAGAATTCTTTAAAATACTGTTGTCTCCCTGCCCCCCATGACATCCCTTAATCATAACTTCACTGTAGGCTGTGAGAGCTATTCTCACAAAAAGATTTGCAGTTAAAAGAAACACAAAAAAAGGCTTAGCCTGGGTTAACAGCCAACCCTTAAACTACTGGGAAAGGTAGAGCTTAAGAAATCAAAGTGTGTACTTCTCAGTGACATTAGATTTAACACTAAGACCACCCGCTCACAGATGCGGGGCTATTTCACTTTAGTGACTGAATTCTATGTACTTCTGCACTGGGGTTGATAGTTATCGCTGAATGAAGAAAAAAATCTTTATCAAAGATGTTTTCTACTAAAAGTGAGTAGAATAAAATATTTATTGACCTCTCTCTCTCTCTCTCTCTCTCTCTCTCTCTCTCTCTCTCTCTCACACACACACACACACACACACACACACACACAGCTGACCTCCAGTTCACAGAAATCTGCCAGCTTCTGCCTCCTAAAATGATGGGATTAAAAACAAGGACCATCATGCTTGGCCTCTAAATATATTTTAATTGTTTAGTTGCACAATAAAAACAAAAGTACCACCAACAGCCTATATCTGATTTTAAACTACTGAAATTAAGACAACACGTGATTGGTTTTCTCCCATTCCAATTTTGATGTCTTCAATTCTCTTTAGCTGTCTATTAATTCTTCTGGTCTTTATTGAAAGTTCAATGAGAAAAGTCAGAAGCAAAATGAGTTTTTAAAATAAAGTCTTTTATGTATCCTTGTAGTGGAGACCAAAAATCAACTTTTCTCACTTCCAATACAAATTTTATTCAAGAGTCTTTTAGATTGACTCTCCTATGATTTGGTTCTTATTGGTTGCACAAATGTACGAGAGGTTGATAGGTCTGTCTGAGCACACAGGAGTAAACAGTGTACACTTCTTACTCCACTGCTCAGAGAGTTGGGCTCTGAACTTAGGCAAGTTGTTGATTCTGGCTAGAGCCTCGTCGGCACGTGATCTGATAATTTAAATACCATGGAACATTTCCAATAGAGGCTGCACATTTTAGCCACCTGATGAAACATTTTGTTGTTATACAAGTCCTAGTCCCAGAGGTCCTTATTTAATGTGGGCTGGCCAGCTGTCCAAGTGATTCTATCCAGAGAACAGCTCCTGAGAGTGGCGACTCTCAAGTTTCAGAAGGACAGAGTTCTGGTTGCCATGCTCATCTCAAGCCATAAGTATGGGATGATGCCCAAGAATCTGCAGGGAATACTGATGCTTTTGTCCAGAGACCTTGCTTTGAGAACTGTTAGCAAAGAAATATTTACTAATATTGTCATCCAAAGTCCCGAGTTTAAATTGTAATTCTATAACCACCTGTATGATCTTAGGAAAATAATTTATTCTCTCATTCTTAGTCTCTTCATAGCAAGATGTGCATCTCAAGTTAATACATAGTGTCACCATTCAACTTAGTGTAGTTCCTGGCATAGACTGTAATTACAAATACTATTTTTATCTGTTGCCTGTGGCTAGAAAGTACAATTAATTACATGAATCTACTCACAAGTAAACTGCAGGAAAAGGAAACAGGAACAACTGAAGCAAACAATATCTATTAGAATTACAAATAAAACATAATGATAAATACAAGAAATACTTTAAGTATACCTATAATCAGTTTTCAAAACTTTAAACATTATAATTTATGTGGCAGGAGCATCAAATATAGTCTATGAGGTGGTAGGAATACTAAGAGTCAGTCTAGAGGAACATAAATTGTTTATACTCTATAATGGATTTACATCCCATCTATGCTAACTTTAGTTTTCATACAACAAAAAGTGAAATACTAAAATATTTGCCTAAATCTTAAATGTTTTTTTTTGGTCAAGTGCTGTTTATTTCCCAATGAGACGCAAGTGTATCAGAATCCCTATAACCACAGTAACACTCCTACAAATGATGGTTTTATTTACATGTTAACAACACACAACAGTTTTCTATCTTCCTTGCCATCTGTTTCACTTTGTATGTGTGAGTCTTTCAATAATCAATTTAAAACCCTGAGGTGAACACTAGAGGTAAGTAAGCCCATGTAAGAGCTGTTACACATGCCACCAAATATGAGGACACCAGACATTGGTCCTCCACAGTGGTGCTGGTTGTGACAAGAACTACAGCATGGTTTTGCGTCTTCAGTGGGACTTCCAGTAACTCCTGCTACTAAATCAATTTCAAAAGTCCTGAATGGCTTAGCTCTGTGAAGACTGTTTAAAGCCAATCTCTCCCTGTATCAACTCCCTGTATCCCAGAGGCAAAGTCTCATCAGACTTTGAAGACTTTCCTTTCCATTCTCCTCTGACACCACTGTACCACAACTTTCCTTTTCTGAATTCCTTAAAACACCTGTTGACCATCTTTGTTGTCACAGTTTCCATAACATTTCTTTTCATACTGGTTTCATTTAATATTCAAACTGATAGACTCTTTTCAACTATTTATGAATGCTCTTACTACATGGTTAGCATCTAAAGATCCTTAACCTCTCCCTTCCTCCATGGAACGCTCCAATTCTCAGGAGCTATTCTCTTCTGCTGTCTACAATATAAACAACTTACACTGTTCTCTTCCTAGCTGTAACCACAATGCCTTCAGATGCAGTGAAAAGAAAGTTCATTTCCCTTTTTTGTACAGGTGTCTTGACAAAGCTAATGCACAACCTATACTTGTTAAGTAGTTGCTAGATTGCCAGAAAAACTCATATTCTGCGCCAAAACAACCGTCTGACCAATATATTTAGAAAATGGAAATTATTTCATTATAAATTAGGCATGGTTCAACTATTCTTGGCACTCTAAAACCAATTTAGATACCCCATGAACAGGATGGTTCCTCCTAACCAATACCCCTGCTATTCTCTGGCACCATTCATTCCTATTCCATTCTCAGACTCTCCTCAGGAACACTCACCAAATATCCTTGCCCCCTCTACCAAACAAACAAAACTTATTCCTTCCACTTCTCTGAAAAATGGTCCATTAACTTATTAAAATCAAAACTAGTGTTTTAGGGCTTTGGGGGGAACAATAAATAAAAACAATTCGAGCCTTCTTTTCTTAACTCAATCAGAAGCAAGATTTCAGGTCTATCCTATGGGGAAGGCAGTTCTTCCCTAAGGTTTTGCCTGATACTAGAAACTGAAAACTGTTAAGTAACCCTTGAGGGTTCAATTGCTATCTTGAGGCATTATCTTTTTTTCAGTTATATATCAAGACAACTTTGGGCTCTTCTGGTTCATTTGGCCCTACTGCTGCCCATATCTATTCCAGCTGATCCTTCAACAGCACTGTAGAACACCAACTAGAGATTGCTTGGGACTTATCTTTATACCTCAAAGTCTCTTGAACAGATTGACTTGAGCAGAGCTGTTTTATTACAATTTACATCACCATACCTACGGTGTAACACTTGTTCTTCTACAGTTTTCAATTAACTGCTTCAGTTATTATTTTCCTAATGCCACTGATTGAATATTCTCTTTTAAAGATAATTTTCCCATCCCCATTATACATGTTCTGCAAAAAGCTGTTCAAGTTCTTCAGTTATAATTATCCCTTAGCACTGTGTATGTTTTTAATTTGTAGACAAAGACAGATAAGTGTAAAAGTAAGTTCTCTTTACAATCCAGAACTCATTGTTCAATATGAGTCTTGATTATATATGAAGGAATATGATAATCCTCTAGTCCCCAAGAAATTGTCCATTAGAAACTCAGGAACCAGTATGGTTTTCTAACCTCTCATAAGGCATCAATGTTATGCTATCATATATGCATATGTCTATTACTCTATGCGTTTTCTTTTGGAAGAATGTTAAAAAATTTAAAAAAAAAACTTCATTCACCTGTGTCCAATATAGGCATCTAGGTATAGAGTTACAAATTAAAGATCACAAACATTTTCCCAGAAAAAGCATTAAAAGAAAAAGAAAAAAAGAAAAATCAGCTCCTCTTTTCATGTAGCACAGCTAACCTTCAAAGCATGCCAGCTAAGAAAAAGGTGTCATCCATGGTAACAGGAAGACTGAGCTTTTCCTCTTTGGGTGATAGCTGAATTTTTATTGGCAGTTCTAGTAAAATATGTAACTTTTCATTCATTCTTAGCAAGGCTTTCCCCTCCCACCCCCAGTTTTTCTTCAAATAAAACCTTTTCTCTCCCACTAGAATTTGAAGTCTTGGCAAGTTTGAACAGCAAGGTTTTGGGTGGTAATCAGTCACTTTAAATCATGTGTTGGCTAGAGAAGAAAGGATATGGGAGAATGGTAGGGAAGGCAAGTAAGAGAAATAGTTCATTGGACACACTGGAAGACAGCAAGTATTTCAAAGCTGTTTTCGGTATCTCACGAAGGCCCAAACTGCAACCATGGTGAGGGCAAACACTGGTAGCAGCACCACAGCTACAGGAATACCACTTGGTTCTCCTTCACCTCGATGTACTATAGGTCCATTCTGCACCGGTAACTGAAAAGAAAGGAGAAATATTAACTCTGACTACTGCGTATGTCACAACTAAAAGATCCATGTTGACAATTACCTGGAGATGTAGTCTATACCACCCAAAGCTATAGACACCACACAGCCTACCAAGAGCTCTTATCCTAGAGGATGCATCACTTTCACGGATACTCTGGGAAGAAAACAGCTCTGATAGTGAAGCATAACCTTGCTTGGCACTGACTTAATGGAACCTCACAGGATAAAGTAAAGCATATCTGTTTCTATAATGCCTCTATTGCTATATATGCTTCCTATCAGGAAAATGAAGGGATGAGATGAAGCCTGTGATCAATCAGGACATCTGGATACTGCTGGGCAGGATGAGGGAAAGGAAGGAAGACTTCTTTCTGGAATATCAGTCATTAGAAAACAGTAAGAGCAGATCCAGACAGTAGCAACACAGCTGCAATGTCATTACTTGGAAATGCTTTACAGTATCCAAGTTACCCCCTTGCTCCTGAGATGGGGTCTTGTCATTCATGCCTAAGTTTGCAATGCTAGTCACAGATAAAGGTAGAATCTATGTGGAGTAGACATTAAAGACTCAAGAGATAAATAAACTATATCCTAGTCATTATCAGCTCCTATTCCCTCAAGAATTTCCTGTTATAGCTAGATTGTCTTTCTTCATTCCAGTCCTGTTTTCAGGGGTAGCCACTCTTAACAATTTTTTCATAGTTAACTTGTAATAACTATAATACCATCTTATTTCAGTTAGACCTAACCACCCACAGCCCATGAAACCCTAATCCCTTCAACTGAAAAGCAAGACTGCACAAACTATCTTCTGTACTTACTCTACCACTTATTTCTTCCTGAGAAGACATGCTCACTTAAAGACATGGTTTTCAGGGTTAGGTAAATTTTTGACCAATAGAGCTTGTTGTATTCTAAGTTATTTATGGATGTTTCCTGAAGTGAACACTGGAAATAAATTCCCAGACCTTCAAAAGGAACCCTTATCATATCTGAAATATATGCCTATCATTTATATGCCTACATAAATTCTCCCATGTTTTAGAAACAGTGACGAGCCATGGCAAAAGCAGATGTTGACCAATACTGTCTCTATCAACCTGATTTTTTAGTCTATCACACCCACATTCTGTTTGCAACTCTGCCTGTTTCTTGGATAGCTTCATGTTTTGCCTTTCTTATTTTTCTTTTGTTTAGTTTTTGTTTTCCTTAAGACAGAGTCTCACCAGGTAGTTCAAGTTAGCTTCTGCTTTCTCCAGTTCTTTTCTAGCTCCTTTTAATCTTCTTCAGTCTCTGAATACTCACTTGGCTTCTTTGCAAACAATACACCAATTTAAAAAAAAATCATAGGCACACTGAACTTGGGTTATAGATGAACTCAGAAATTCTTGCTGCTGTGGGAAGAACTCAGACGACTTTCCTATCATTCAAATTATAAAACACCAGGAAATAAGAAGCAGATGTAGATTGGTTGTGGCACACACCTTCAATCCCAGCACTCAGGATCTCTGTGAGTTTGAGGCCAACTTGATCTAAAGAGTAAGTTCCAGGACAGCCAAGGCTACACAAAGAAACCCTGCGTTAATAACCCCCCCCCCAAAAAAAAAGAAAGAAAAAAGAGAAAAGAGAGAGAAAGACAGAAAGAGAGAGAGAGAGAGAGAGAGAGGGAGGGGGGGAGGGAGGGAGGGAGAGAGGGAGAGAGAGAGAGAGAGAGAGAGAGAGAGAGAGAGCAGATGTAAGGATTCTCAATTCCATTTCCCTTTTCTTAAGAGCTGCCCTTCAAGTTACACTTGGGTATCAGTCAATGTGGTCATGGAAAGAGAAGCCTTATAATGGGAGACAGAAAACATAACCTTTGCAGTCATAAACAAGAGTTTTCAAGGGTACACAAATTGTGCTTTCCCTAAGAAAAAGTAAAAGTGATTCTACTGTCTTTCCATTTTGAATTGATTAAACTTTATTTTTTTAAAAATTGTGGGACCTGAGTTATAAGTATAGTGTTATATACTTCTACTGATGCCAAAGGACTCTTGCATATGCTAGACAAACCCTACAAACCGTAATAGAAAAAGAAAAAAATAAACAGACTTTGAAAATTACATCCACAAGCTTATTCACAAGTGCAGTGAGAAAGCCTACTGTCCCATATCTGGCTGCTAATGATACCTACCCTATGCTGTACTCTCAGGGACACAGCATATCCTGCATTACGAAAAAGGTCTACAGCATCCTGGTGTAGCAGGTTCTTTAGGTCTTGGCCATTTACCTTTCAAAAACAGCAAGAAAGAGAAGTAAGAAAGGCAAAGGACTAAGTCTCTTAAGTGAACAATTTACATACATGCAGGCAATCAAACCTTTATTTATTGAAAATAAAACTTTCGGGGAAAATCCCAAGAGCTAGGAGTATGGGCTAAGTTGCTGAACACTCAGGAGGAAGTTTCTTCATTTTCAAAGTTACATTTTCCTATAACTTAGGATCCATGAACCATCTGGAATAAGCCCAGATTTAAACAGATTTGTTTCCTCTTCCTTCTGAGCTTCTGTGCTTATCTTGTTTGGAAGTATTGGCTCCTGTCACCGTGTTGCATACCACCTGTGGATATTCATTTCTATACTGCTACATGAGGAATCTTCTAAGTCATCCTTTATCCTTTATATTCCTAATCCTCAACATTCCTACCTTCAGCCCTGGAAACCTAATTCTATGTCCCCAAATTTATTTTGATATTGTGTGAATCTGCTCTAGCCTATTCTAGTGGGCTTATTTTATTGTGAAAAAATTTCCATTGGTTTCATGTATAGTCCTGTCCTCAAATTTACAAAGTATTTCTGTAACAATACAGACCTTTACTAATCACTTGAATGTAGGTCATTCCTACTACACAGAGGTGACAAATGTGAGGCCCTTGTATTCTTTTTGGTATCAGGAGTCACAAGTGGTACCTATAGTGCATTCAGCAACTCAACACATCCCTCTTTGCGCAAGACTACATATTTTTATACGTTACCACCACTGCTAACAGCACTAGCAGTAAGAGTATTTAGTACATTTAGTAGATTCTGTGCTTTGTATTTAATTCCTGCAGTTACCCTGTGAGTTTGACCGCATGTTTATATTGACTTTTGTTGATGAAGTAACTGACACACAGAGAGATCATGAGTGTAGAAGCTAGAGCTAGAGATTTTAAATAATGGAATGAAGAAGTTCCCTTGCATTTCACTGTTCTTTGAATGTTTCTATTTTTCCACTCTGACTTGCCAACTGCCCCTTAGGTAAAGCTATTTACATTTTTACTCTTCCCATCATTCTCATCACAGACTTAGGTTAGGTGTTAGACAGAATGAGTGGGTCAAAAGGGCAGAGAGACAGATGAAGTTTGTGCAGAGTTCTCATTTGTTGGGAGTCTAGGAAAAATTCAGTGGGGAATCTTATGCACATGTTCTGGTCAGATCTAAGTTGCTGAGAAGTGGACATGGAGCTTGAGAAACATAGTAAGTGGGTAAATCTCCTGTTCGCAGTGAGACAGAGTCATCACCAGAAGAGTAGTCAGAGGCAACAATAGTGAGAATACACAGAGAAGAGTCTACTTACCCTACAGAAATCCATCTCAGTATTGTCTTGAACCACCAGCCCCATCAAAATCTAATGTCTTCTTTCTCTAACAGATTTATATTGTTCCTTCTACTCTTAAGTCTTGCTAGTATCTTTGATATGTGAAACTACCAATACTTTCATTTTACAGACTGGATATTTTCAATTATTTCTTAGTTACCAAATGAGACAATTTCAGACAGCAGCACTAGACATATTAGACATATAATATATCCAACTCTAAAAATCCTGAGCATAATTTCTACTCTTCATAGTTTTATTCCTCCATTAGATTTCCTCTTTCCTGTTATCAGTGCTTTTAACCTCTTCATATTTTAGCTGTATTTTACCCATCTAGGATTTTGGCTTTAATTTCAACAAAGCACCTCATAAATTATTGGAGTCTCTTATCCTGGCTTCCTGACATCTTTCCAGTCCTGGAAATACACTGTATCTACATTCCTTGTCATCATTCAGTTGAATAGCCCCAGAGAAATGCAGTAGCATTCTGTGCACAGATGCAAGTTAGCTGCTATAGTTGATCCTTAAGATCCTTCTATTCATCAAGCAAACTCATTAATAAATACTCATCAATATCTTGTTGTACATTTTTCCATTAGCCTAATCCTGATTCACCTCAGCAGATTCCTTTGCTTCATCATTTGTGAGATTACTGAAGGCAGTTCGCTCTTTCCCTTTTATCTTCTCCCTCCAGTTTTTATATTTTCTTGCTGTTCCTTTCCCCTAATCTCTAATTAAGTCTGTCTTATTTATCAAGAATAATCCATTTACTATGTTGGGTGTAGGAGGTTATTCTGTTCATGTGGTTTTTTTTTTCATTGATTAATGAATAAAGAAACTGCTTTGGGCCTGATAGGGCAGAACTTAGGTAGGCGGAGAAGACAGAACTGAATGCTGAGAAGAAGAGCAGAGTGGGAGAAGCCATGGATCCTCTGCCTGAGATGGACACTGGTTAGAATCTCTGGTAAGCCACAGCCACATGGCCATACACAGATTAATGGAGATGGGTTAAACTAATATGTAAGAGTTAGCCAATAAGAAGTTAGAGCTAATGGCCAAGCAGTGTTTTTAATTAATACAGTTTCTGTGTGGTTATTTCAGGTGTAAACTATCCGGGCAGCAGGGACAAACAAGGAGCCCCCTCTCCTTACACTATGTCTTTAAGAACTCTTCTGATTACATCTTTTGCTGCTCCTCTCAACAAAAGCCACTATCCTCTATAAAGGAAACAATGCACAAATATGCTACATCCTTCCTCTCTTCTTTCTTCCCATGCAAAATTGCTGAAAAAACTGCAAGGCTAGAGAGATAACTCTGGGCCAAGAGCACTGGCTGCTCTTCCAGACACCCTGGGTTCAGTTCCCAGCACCATGGCAGTTCACAATCATCTGTAACCCCAATTTCAGGGGATAGGATGCCTTCATTTGGCCTCTGCAGGCACCAGGAATACACAATACATTTATAAACACAGGCAAAACACCATGCACATTTAAAAAATTGTTTGCATGTACTGTGTGTACTACCTCTACATCCATTATCTATTTATTACTTTCATATAAAAAGTGAAACAAAATGCTCTCCTGAAGACCAGATGGGACTTCAAATATATCTCTTACCACCTTCTCATAGCCTGTAGACTGTCTCCTTTTGTAATGATCTCCTATGTTAGATGATGAATACTTAGCTCTCTTTATTTTTTTTCTTGATCTCTCTCTGTCTCTCTCTGTCTCTAAAATCCTGATTGCTAACTATATTTTCCTTCTGAATTTTTTCCCATGGGCATCTTTCACCATTTGCACCATATTCTCCAAAATAACTTTACTTACGCCTTGGGATCTGCAATGTCCTGCTGGATGTTGATACTTAGATACTCTGGTAGAATCCAATTCAGTATGTCCAAAGTCCCTTTAACTTCCCACAAAAGCAGACTATCCTAACTTTCCTCTTGATGACATTCCTAATGCTTTATTCAAATGTATAGTTTTTAAACACTCTAATCAGTTAATCAGCACATATAATATATGTCTTGTAGCCTAACACCTGTCTTTATGTCTTTATGCTATTTTCTCTTCTATGGCTGCCAATTTAGGTTGTGGATACTTAGCTGAATTATAGGGACTGTCTTTTATGATTTACTTTCCACATTTTCCCCCATTCCTACCTTAAATGCTGTCTCACAATCTGCTTTCCTACACTACAATTTTGTTAATAACTATGGTACTATTCAAGACATAAAAATGAACCTGGTAAATAAGAAAAACATGTGCTCTTGACTTACTACACTAGTGTGAAAAGTTCTCTATCACATCTGTTTAATCTCTCACTCACTTCTTTCTATAATGTGATTAACAAACCTCTTCATCCAATTAACACTACAAAATGTAGCTGACTAATGGCCCAATCTGTCACCATTTGACTTTAATAGGGGGTTGGTTAAAATGGAGCATTCGTGTTGGTAGTATGTAAGAACCAGCTACATCACCATGAACTTCATAAGAATATTAAGTTCTCTGACTAGCTACCCTCCTTTCATTCAGGCATACAGGAGAAATGAGAAACTTAATTATACCTTTTCTTTACCAGAAAGAATATCCTCACAGCTTTCAGTAGTATCAAACTGTTCTTACCAACACACACACAAAATAAACAATGGATGAGGCCTGTCAAGTTCTCATTCAACTTCAGATTCATTATGAACACCTATTTCTGTTTCATTCACAGCATAAGTGATTTTTTAAAAAAAAAAATGTTTACATTGCTTAGTTAAATTTTTATTATCTTTTGGCATAAGCCATATGTCGTGGCCATAGAAAATTAAATTCTGTGGCTGGGGAGATGGCTCAGAGGTTAAGAGCACTGACTGCTCTTCCAGAAGTCTTGAGTTCAATTCCCAGCAACCGCATGGTGGCTCACAACCATCTATAATGAGATCTGGTGCCCTCTTCTGGCATGCAGGCAGAAGACTGTATACATAATAAATCTTAAGAAAAAAGAAAATTAAATTCCATTTCTTATGAGAAAAGAAGAAACTGCACAATAAATACATCAAGCAGTTTTTCCATTCCAGAAAAGAAGAAACCAAGAAAACATATGGAGGATGTTTAGTAAGAATGAGAAGAGTATATTAAGAGTATAATAACTCACAAGAAATTTACAATTAACAACTCTCTTCATTATCTACAATGGGGATGTGCTTATGTGCTAAAGAAACAGTTTTAGTTTGATAACTTAGGAAATGTTAGAAAACCACAGAGCATGTTTTACAACACAGGAAGTATTCCACAGAAATAGAAAACCCCATAAACAAACAAACAAACAAACAAACTGAAAGAGTTGAAGAGATGTAGCAAAACACTTACCTAGCAAGTACAAGGCCCTGCATCCAATCACTAGAATCACAAAATAAGTATCTAATAAAGTAAGCAAATAATTTAGCAACATTTTTCTAGCTACATCATAGCCAATAACAAATGAAAACTTAAGGAACTAGGGATGAAGAAAGTTTAATAGATGGAACTTTTTAAAAGTAATAGCCTACAAGGTTCACTTTAGAGAAGAAAGAGGCTACCATGGCCTGGTAAGCAACAGAGACTATCTGCATCATTTTTGTTTGTTTGGCTGTTTTGTTTGTTTTGAAACAGGATTTCTCTGTGCAGATCTGGTTGTTCTGGAATTCACTCTGTAGACCAGGCTGGTCTTAAACTCAGAGAGATCCGCCTACCTCTGCCTCTTGAGTGCTGGGATTTAAAGGTTGGTTATACCATTAATTCTATCCTTGATACAAAGGTTGATTTCAGTTCTTTTATAAACCCATCCTATCATCTACTAGCTATTCACTACGTAACTAACTTCCTTTTCAGAGTAGTTAATCTTACTTATGCATGTATCTTTTAGGAAGACAATAGAGTACTGTTAGTATTAGTTTTAGCAAAGGATCCAAATTCAGATAAATCAAAGTTTTATTTTCCTAACACTAGTTATGTCACTTGTAAACCACCCGACTTCATCAAGCCTCAGTTTTCTTAGCTGCAAAATGGGCATAATGATTTATACCTGTTACATATACTCTAATATTAACCAAGATTACACTGAAAGTTATCATTTTGTGCTTGAAAACTGTTCCTAATTCTTTTTTAGACAAGCTACCTTTAAGCAAAGCTTTCCAAACAATATACTCTCTTCTTAAGTCCTAAATTAAACCCTATACTTTTCAAGTATCTCTTCACTCAGAGTATGAATTCTGTGTCAAAACACTAATTATATTGTATATTTAACAACCCACTCACAATTTTTCTTTTCTGTCCTACTGCAAAGTTGGTTTGTATTTACAATGTCTTTCTTCTGAGAGTGACAAAATATCTGCTCCTAAATTCTTCATTATTGTTTTTGTAAGAGGGTAATTATTACCATCCCTATCTTGTAGTCTAATATAGAGGAACTAGGAAAAGCTTAGCGGGCTGGCAAACAGTCAGTGAGATGCACCAAAATAATGCCATCCATGGTAATATGTACTGGACATATTCTTAAACTAATTATATAACTTTCATAACTACTTGTTCTGTTTTATGTGTTTCTCTTTTTTTGAGACAGGATCTTGCTAAGTAATTCACAACTGACTTGAACTCAAAATGTTCCTGCTTCTACCTCTTGAGTATTGAAACTATAAGTGTGTGCCACCATGCCTGGCTGTGCATCTTCCTAAGGAGACATTCAAAACTGAATCAGATCTCTCAAATGTTAAGATGTCAAATAAAAACAGGTATACATTCTCCCTGCCTTCATATGCTACTACCAAATGAGTTGGATGGCAGAGAGGTATCCAATAAGCTGATCTCTAAGAGAACTAATTAACTAAACTCTATGACGGGCAATTTAAAAAAGAAAATTCAAAGCAAAACTATAATACAATCTTTTAAAAGGTTATTCCTGTTATATGGAAGTTCTAAATCAAGTCTCTGACTTAACTCTTTATCAAATCTTGTCTTGATCTATACTTAAATTACTTAAGTCTTTTACTGGTTTAGCCCTCTTGCCCTATTCGGTTCGTAAGACAAGCAAGAAATAATTTTCTCTTCTTTAGACCATGGACCATGATCCACAGTACATGTGGAAATGGGGCACTTCTGCCACGAAATGTTCCATCCTACTTCAAGTTTCACTTAATTTGAGAACAGCCCTTTGCAGCTAGGTCTAACTCCCAGGAAATCCTGGATAACAACTCACTTTGTCAGTGCTTTTCCATTCTTTATACTAATTACACATATTATTTCCATACAAAGTGAGCAACAGTAGCCCAAAACATTAATTTTAAAAAAAAAATCTATAGCATGATCTAACCTTCCCCATCTCCCACAACTGACAGTATAATAACAACACTGTAGCCAGTGAGGGAGAACAGAAATGAAAGAAAGAGCAACAAATAAGAATTTGAAGAGTTTTAAAAGTTTTATTTTTCCTGGATTCTGATTTGCTTTAGGAATATTCAATTTATTCTAAGACTAAGAACCTGGGTGGGACTAGAAGGATGGCTTAGCAGTTAAAAGCATGTACTGCTCTTTCTGAGGACCTGAGTTAGGTTCCTAGCAACCACATGGGACAGCTCACAATTGCCTGTAACTCTAGCTCCAAAAGGATTCAATACCTCTTGCTTCAATGAACACCAGCACTCATTTATATCCCCCTACACACACACACACACACACACAGAGGAAATATTTTTTTTAAAAAAAGGCTAAGGGTCTATGAGCTCACATGACTGACTCTATTTGATAGTCAACTTTTCTAAACTTGCATGAACTTTCTGATTTGCTCATTTGTTAAGCCTATGTTGAGCACCTGTACTAAGATATGGGAAGTTTAAAAAAATTAATTACAGTATATGAGTATATGAAAAATTAGTAAGAGTCATTATTACTATACAATAAGAGACATTAGCAGAATGAAATGGGGGCACAACTGACAGATATCCAAACTCTATTTCAATTTTTCATCTTAATTATGGGAAAGGAAGAGCCCTGAATTTAAAGAAGAAATTTAATCCTTACCTTCCTTTTTGAAGTTAAGGCCATTAGTAAGGGCTGACAGTATCCCAAGAAAAGGCACAAATCAGTGTTTTAATCAACAAAAGAGAAGGGATAAAGTTAGCAAGAGAAAGATGAAAACTGTGGGTTTAAATCTCCTTCCTCCAAACCAGCCCTTCATCTCTACTTGCTTTGTGGTTTTTTTGTTTGTTTGTTTGTTTGTTTGTTTTTTGTTTTTTTTTTTTTTTTACCAGGGCAAGTAACTTCACATTCTGTTAAATTTGCCTTGTCTGTCAAGCAAGAATAACACTATCCTCCAAGCCCGGTGGCAAAGTTGGAAGACTGATCAATGTTCTTCCTATTCAATGATATAATCTAGGTATTTTCATTTTCAAACAGGCAAGCAGGAAATCTTCCCAAGGAAGGGTCAGAGGAGGTCTAGAGAGCAAAGTATAGCAAAGGGAGCCGAAGCCATTTCTCACCGAGAGGATCTTATCACCCTCCTGGAGCCGCCCATCCCGGGCCGCAGCCCCATCCTCTTTGATGCGGCTGACGTAGATGCCACTGTCGTTGGAGACATACTGTTGATCTGTCCCACCGACGATGTTGAAGCCCAGCCCTGAGAAAAATCATGGAGGAGTGAAGAAGAGGGGGATGAAGAAGAAAGAAAGATTAGAGGAGAAGAAAGGAGAGAAAAATTGTCTAGTGGGGAGGAGAGGCTGACAATTCAGACTGTGAGGTAGCTAACACAGTCTTTAGCAAAGTCAGTAAAGTCATTATCAACAAAGGCCAAAGTACCTAGATTGCTGATTTGAACCAGGCAGTACTCAAAGTACAGACACAGTGATCAAAATGACTGGTCAAATATACTGAGCTAGACATAACTTGAGGGATAGGAATGGTGAGTCTTGTAAGATACAAGTGCTGCTTGACATTCAGATGATTCAAATCCTGGTATTCCTATGTTAATGTAACAGAATTAGCTGTCTCATAAAAATAAGCTTTGTTTTCATAACATTTAGTGAAAATATGATTGCTAACTGAAGCCTTTTCTTCATGTGTTTCTTCTGTCAATATTTGGGAACACCTGTACATGTTGGTGTTTTGGAAGAAGCAATCTTGGTAGTTTATCTTTTTCTATTTTGTACTGGGGTAGGAGAGTAGTGAAACGGCTGTTAGCAGAAACCTCAGAACTAGAAAAGCAACTGCTGCTTTACAGGAGAATCAAGTCACCAAATTCACTCTTTTCTTTCTATATCAAGTACAACTGATCACATACCTGTGCACAGTGATAGTAAAGTTTACTCACTGTAGAAAATAATTCCTTACCAATTAGCAGTTGGGTACTTCCCTCCTCCTAGTCCCTGATACCTACTATTCTATTCTTTGTTTCTCTAAGTTTAATTAGTTTACAAGAGTAAAATATTTCAGTTAAAGAAGAAATATGTAGAGATCTGCTATACAAGATTGTGTCTACCCAAAATAATAATATATGGTATATTTCCAAATTTATTTCAAATATATCCAAGTATCTTCATTATAATAAATATAGAAGGCAAACAAGTTAGCTGGTTAACTAAAATTTTATTTTCATAAACCAACCACCAAGCTGTGACAAGGATTTTGTCCTACAGAAATTATCTGATTTCTTTGAGATTTTTAAAACTTATGTAAAAAAGGAAAAAGAGGAGAGAGAGGAAGAGAGAGAAAAGAAATAAGAGAGAAAAAGGAATCTCTTCTCTATGTAACTAAAGTGGTAATTCTGTGACACAATACAAAGAGAAGGAAGACAGTTGGAAACAATTTAAAAAACAAAAATGTGTTGGTGCAATGAGAAGGAAAAGCCAGTCATCAGTCTCATAATTATCTCAGTAGAAAATGTACCATTGAAGGGATATATGTGGACTTTTTCTAAAGCTCTTTCCATGGTTAAAATTAAGCTAAGACTCAAAGTACTAACACAGCACTATCAAATTAATCCACAATTTAATAAGAAACATAACTGACAAGGAAAAATCAGGACGTTTATGATTTTTTTTTAAATTTATTTATTTATTAAGGATTTCTGCCTCGTCCCCACAACCGCTTCCCATTTCCCTCCCCCTCCCCCGATCACTTGTTTAGCATGCTGGGCAATATGCAGCACTACCAATAAACAAACAGATAAAATCTTAACCCGATATATATTTACGTAATTCCTTGTCCATTTATTCAATAAAAATCACTGACCTTTGAAGACAAAGCTAAACTGTACTAACTGTTCAGTTCTGACTTTAACCACAAACAAATTTATTCTTTTTCCTGTCCCTTTTAGATATTGCATAAACCAAAAAAAAAAATAATTTCAAGTTCAACTCTGTAAATTACTGGATGTGGACTGAAGAAATCAGTTTAACTCTGATTTGCTGTCTTTTCTATAAAATAAAGATTACAAATTCTACCTTCTCTCCATCAATGGTAACTGTTAGATTCCAGTAACAAAATCTGAAAATTTTCTTTGTAAAACATATTTATTGTTAGACTGGAGAACGGAACTAAGAGTTTCTGTCAATAAACTAGTGACTGTTAAATTTCTGATTAAGAGTCTGATGGGGCAAGGATTATCTGATGTAGACATGAAAATTCTTTTAAAAATAAGAAAACACAGGGATTAAAAAGTCTACCTGTAAGTATAAAACACTTGATTAGAACTCAAGTTCACTGAAAGTAAGTATGCTTGTAGTTTATTTCCTAGAAATCCCCTTCAAAACCAGTTTTAGGGAGCTGGAGCAATGGCTCAGTGATTAAAAGGACTGGTTGCTTTTCTAGAGGACCTGGTTTGTGTTCCAGAAACAACATGGTGGTTCACCACCATCCACAACTCCGGTTCCAGAAGCCCTCTTCTGACTGCTGAAGGCATGTGGCACACATACATACATACAGGCAAAACACAGAGAGAAAGAGAGAACATGCATACACATAAAGATAAAAGATAGATTTTTTTTAAATCTATTTATTTATTATGTATACAGTATTCTCGGAATTTTGTCTACATGTTTGCTTGCAGGCCAGAAGAGGGCACCAGATCTCATTACAGATGGTTGTGAGCCACCATGTGGTTGCTGGGAACTGAATTCAGGACCTTTGGAAGGGTAGGCAGTGCTCTTGACCACTAAGCCATCTCTCCAGCCCAAAAGATTTTTTTTAGCAAGAGTAATATTTAAAACCTGTAGTAATTATCTGGCACATGTATCAATCAACTAGAACAGCTGATCAGCTAAGAACAACTAAAGAGGATAAATTACTAAGTTATTTAGTATATATCAGCTATTAGCAGCATCCAAGAAAAAAAATATTTTGTAAGCAGAATGGGCAAATACTCTGGTTTCTTGGGAATCTTGGTATACACCTATAACCCTAGTACTATTAAGACTCACCTTTTAATTTCAAAAACATCCCAGCTAGGGCAAACGTGACCATCCCATCAAAAAAAAAAAAGAATATATTCATTGCAAAACACAATGCACTAGGATAGAAGTGACAGTGATAGAAGTAAGAGTAGATAAAAAGTTAAAAATTAGAATCATTTAATAATCATGTACAAAGTAACATGAATAGAATTCTGAAATGTTGTTCAGGTAAGTAAAAACACACACATACAAATTTTATTACCTATTTACAAAAGGGCACACATGTTTAAGGATGTGTAAAGATACACTGCAGTAGATACCTACAAGAGAGAAGGATACATTATGCCATTACATCTCAATAAAGCCAGAAAAGGACATTATGACACCAGTATCCTCTGAAGCTGAAGAGTGTACAGGCTCAGCACACGTAAGGTCCCAAATGGGTTAAGGGCAAAGATTAAAAAAAAAAAGGAAGAAGAAAGAAGAAAGAAAGAAAAGAAAGAAAGAAAGAAAGAAAGAAAAAGGAAAAGTTGAAGAAACATTGAGATGATCAAGCCTCATAGAATATTCCAGTCAGGACTTGACCATAATCCTAAATTTTCTTTAGGTCCCCATAAGATTATCACCACCCCCAATCAGCAGGAAGTAGCCTAGAAAACTATGCCTACATTCCCAGAAAATGGATTATGGATGTTTATCTTTGTTTATAGTGTTGGCTGCATGTTGTTATGAATAATGGTCAGGAAAAAAGCTAAACAAAGGAGATAAGATTCAGAGTTATTGTTTTGAAAAAAAAGGGGGAATGCTGTGGGACAATGGTCTTGTACCCTGTAAAGATTTGTCATTTATATTAGTTTAAGAAAATGCTGATTGGCCAGTAGTCAGGCAGGAAGTATAGGCGGGACCACCAGAATAGGAGAATTCTGGGAAGAGGAAAGGCTCATTCTGCACTTGTTACCAAGACACAGAGGAAGCAAGATGAGAATACCTAACTGATAAAAGGTACCAAGCCACGTGGCTAACATAGACAAGAATTATGGGTTAATATAAGATATAAGAGTTAATAAGAAGCCTGAGCTAATAGGCCAACCAGTTCATAATTAATATAAGCCTCTGTGTGTTTCTTTGGGATTGAACGGCTGTAAGACCAGGCAGGACAGAAACCTCAAGAGGCTCCTCCCTAGGAAAGACCAATTCTCCATCTCTCAGCAGTTATTAAATTGCTTACAGCTCTTCAGGGAAGGGTGGAGTTCCATAAGACTTCTCCAATCCACATTGACATGTCCACTGGTACTTCTGGTTAAAATGCAAACAACTGGGTGCCCAGTCCCTATTAATATATACTAAAGCTCAGGGAACATTTCCAAAAAAGGGGGGCATAAAAACTATAAAAGGCAGAAAACCAGTAAGTCTGCTGCTAAATATGACAGGGAAGTCACGTCTATGAAACCTCCCAGGATTCACCGAATACCACTCCCCTTTTCTGTTTCCAGTGTTCAAGGCCTCATTTCTAAGAGTATAAGCCAGTAGCTCTTGCCCCACTAGAGTTTATTCCAGACAAAGCAGTTGTAAGGGCAGGCATCATTTAAGCACTTTAAACAAGATGATGATGATGATGATGATGATGATGATGATGATGATGATAATAGTGATGATGATGATGATGATGATGATGATGATGATGATGATGATAATGATGATGATGATGATGATTGGTGGTGGTAGTAGTAAAGGTAAGAATAAAGTGCTTAGAAATTCCTGGTGCAGTATTAACATTATAAAGGCATAAAACAATAGTAAAACTGGCTGTCTTGCATCATGCCATGCACCTGTCACCTAAAGAGAGCTCAGAACTCATCTCCCCTCATGTCTGGCTACCTAGACATCAAGAAAAACTACAGAGCATTTCAAACTGCTGCCTGACCTGTACCCAGGTAAATGCAAACTCAGGCCAACAGAGTTATGGTACAGTACCTGGTGAATTTTGGGAAATGGACTCCACTGAAGTCAGGCCAGTACTGTAAGGCTACAAATATTATTGTTAGACTTTGTCAATATTGTTACAGGTTGGGTACAGAACTTTCCATCCAGAATGAAAAGGGCCCATGGTAGCTAAGAAATTAATAATGGAAATTATTCCTAGATTTGGCCTCCACATATCTCTGGGATCAGACAATAGCCTGATTGTAAAACTCCAAGTGGTCCTATACTATGCCTATACAGTACTACT